GGAGACGGAGGTGGTATAACTATAAAATGTTGGGCTACCCTGACACCACTCTACAGTTCAAGGAGTATTTGGAATGAGAATTTTTTTTTTAATGTTATACAATGTACTATTTATTTATATTTTCTCAACAAAATAATATACAATGAACTAATTAATCTACTTCTAGTGGACTCCAATCTAGTCTCATGAGTCAAAGAAAGATGATGTAGTATGGTGATAATCCTTATACACAACAAAACATTTGCAACGTTCAAATAAATACATGAGTGTGTATCTCTTTTTGTGGAACACGTTTAACATGTGTTCATCAAATGTGAAGAAATCTTTTGATCCTAAAAAGAGTATAGCTTAATTACTATGAAAGTGAAAGACAAATATTTGACCAACACTAAAAAAAGGAAAGTGTGACTTGAGCAAAACTTGTAAAAAATGATGCTTATGTTGGGTGCTCATACATTTTGTAATGGACGCTTTGCCGATGAGCGTTGTACAGTTGGCAAAGGTAGAGAGTACCAAGAGGGTAAATCAGTGTTCGATTCCCGAGCAATTATGCTAAGCATAGGACCCCTGCAAGTACCAAGTGCAAACTTTACTAGCTCGCTGTCACCAATATGTGATCAAATTCTAACTCAGAGACCGTCCGACCGAGTCTGAGTAAGCCCTCATAGATGGGTTGTCCTTTTGTAATGGGTGCTTTTTCTTAAACATTAAGGCTGGTAAGTGTAGTATAGCTCATCACACCTATTACGTCATCCTATTCAGCGCCACTCAGAGTCACATTAACTTTTGTCTTTTCGATCAGAGACTCATAGTCCATCACTGGTTGGGTGTGTATCACGCTAATCACATAATTTTTTTCTTTTTAAAATTTATTTAAATCAAAATTAACTCAAAATAAAAAATTTAAATAAATTATTCAATAACATTAAAATTAAAATTACATCAACACGATAAAAACATTAAATAAATACTTCATTGAGTATTAACATCAAATTACAATAACGATGTAATTAAACTAGTATTTCATAAATTTATGTTTTCTTATTTCTTTTAAATATAATTAACCAAAAAAACTTAAATTAAAAACAAAAAAAACTAAAGAAAGTGATATTTAAAAGTAAACAAATGAAATTATTATATCATTATTATTATTTATTAATTTTCTTTATTCTATTATTATAACAAATGAAAGTGATATTCAGTGGTAATGATTCAATTACTCGACAGTTTATAGCGACTACAATATTACACAAGAATTTAAAAAGATTATCTAGTAAAATGGGCATAGCTTTAATTGTTAGTTCCATGGTGTTGGCTAATCTTTTGGCAAAAATAGAATTCCATATTTGTTAGGTGTTTTACTAGGTAGAAACCTCTATTTGTTAGGAGAGGTTTATTTTATTTAGACTTCTAGAGCTGCTACAGTTTTCGAGGTTGACACAGAAGATGCTACAACACGATGCTGCAACACACTGTTCGAGATCAGAGGTCTGAGCACGGGATTTTAAGCTGCAATCTGGATTAGAGACCTATTGGGATTGTGACTGCATGATAATAACTCCAGCTGTACTTGTTAAGGAATCCCAACTTTTTAGGCTACTTGTGAATCAAAATTAAGAAAATTGAATTCAAGCCAACTTCTACTATCCTATTTCTACTAGGATTGTGTTAAGAGAAGCCTATAAAAACGCAGCAGGTCCCTGGGAATTACTTGGAGCGATTGAGAGGGAAAACAAAGAATATACGCTAATGTAGAGCGTTCCCGTCGCGTCCCGGAGCTTCCCATGCGTGAAGAAAGTTACGATCTACATGAAGGAGTCCTACAACGAAAAATAGATCATGACAACCAGGAGATGAACCAGAGCTTAAGGAAAGGGCTGCCAACACGTTTGTCCTCGTGATCTCGGTGGAGATGTGATAGCCGAAGCGGATTTGTACAGGGTACGGGTTAGAAATCATAGATTAGAAGTTTTGTCACAACAATTCGGAGAAGTGTGTCTCATCATGTTGTTATGTACCAGTGTAACTTGCATCTAGTGATTTAGTGGAGGGCTATTACACAGACGTGGGCCCCGCAGAGTAGAAGACTTTTACACATTTTATAGTTACAGCATTCTGCCTAGTAGGCGTTGTAACGCCCTCTACATCATCAGCTTCTGTGTGTGCTTGTAGCAGAGAAGTATTATAGCACACTGTTTGTTATCTGTTACTGTGACAGTGCTGCAGTATCTTAATTGGTGATTTCCGCTGCACCCCGACGAACTTACATTAATACTTATCAAATTCGAGATACAAAATCGGAAATTTCATATTGAAGAGAGCTAATAAAACTTTTATATTGTGAGTTTTTCAGAACAATGAAAGGATATTTTTTTTAAATAAACATTTATGTATTTGACATTTTACTAAAGATAAATCGGCTCGGTTCCATGGCCACTGGAATCCAGTGGCCACGGAAGCCACTGCCCCCTTACAGAGCTCCGTTCATAAAATTGATGATTTCTACCCCCTCTAACCCCCCCCCCCCCACCCCCGGTAAACCCCCTCGCCAAGTCCCAACCCAAACTAATCACTCCACCTACGTCAATTGCACCTCGTAAGTATAATTGACTTTAAAGTCAAAAGTTTGGACTTTACACTTACGAGGTGCAATTGACGTAGGTGGAGTGATTAGTTTGGGTTGGGGTTTACCGGGGGGGTTAGAGGAGGTAGAAATCATCAATTTTATGAACGGAGCTCCGTAGGGGGGCAGTGGCTTCCGTGGCCACTGGATTCCAGTGGCCATGGAACCGGGCCGAAGATAAATACCCCAATAGAAAGGCTTGCATGTGTGTAAAATTAAGTTTAACTAGTGGCAGAACCAGGACGGAATACTATACGTGGTAGGGAACTAGAAAGCCCATGATGTTTGTGAGTTTTTCCGTATAGTACCTAAAATGTGTTATTCCCTAAATAGTACTCCGGTACTTAATTATACAAAGTACTCCCTCCATTCCTTAAAAGGTTCCTGTTTTGATTTTTAACCAAATTAAGAAAAGTGTAATTTTGGTTGATTTTCCAATTTTGCCCTGATGTGATGAGTAACAGTAAGATGTGAAAGGTTGGTTATTAGTGAAAAAGTATAATCTGATAGGTAGAACATGAAAAGGTAGGGGTAAAAGTGATTTTTTAATAGAAAAAGAAAGTGTTTTAGAAAATTGAAAAAACATAAGAGAGAAAAGGTTTTGAGGAACTAAGGGAGTAGTACCTAAACTCCTATATTGAAGGATAGTTATGACACTATGGGCGAGAGAGGGAACGATCCGTTAAAAAATGCAAACTATAGTTATGGGCCGGGCAAGGAGTACTTTTGTATATTTGGACTAATACTTCGTATTAATTATTTAATAATTAAGTTAAGTACTATATTAGAAAAATAATTACGGAGTGTGATTTAGTACTATATAAGTAAATTTTCTTAAACTTTATACTCCGTACAAAATATTAAAGAAGCATTCCAACAATTTAGGTAGTTATTCACCGTGACCTCCACACACGCGCTCCAGGGGGTGGGGGGGGGGGGGTTTCAAGCGCAACGCCTATCGAAAATATTGGAGGAGATCGAGATATGAGGTAGGGGTGGGGGTTGAGAATCCTCTAGAGTCTCCAAACGGTATTCTGGAGGTACGGAGATGCAACTGCAAAAGAAATGAAACAGAATACATGATAGAATATATATAGGAGAAATTTATACAAATTGAATAGAAAATGAAAACTAATTACTAAAATATAACATCTACCATAGGAAGCCAACTATAATTGAGCAATAACATAAGTAATACTACCATATGTAATACGGAGTACTATCATTATTGTTGTCTAGCAATAATAATAACTTACTCTTGCTTTTAGGCTATATTACTTTCTTTTGGATTGAAAAAATTAATTTCTAACTTCTTCTCGTTTTTTCCAATTTTTTCCAGTTTCTTTCAACAACAAGTATTTATATATGATTAATATAAAATAATATTATATATCCAAATTTGTAATATATCACTTCAAACACGGACAATGATAAATTCTTTTTATCCAAAATTAAAATTTTCTAACATATTTATTTAGATGATAATTTAATTGGGTAACTTTTTAATATTTGAATTCTTTCAACATTTTCCAACCCCCCTAATTTCTTCTAATTCTTCTAATTTCTTCCAACATGGACCTTTGGAATTCCAAACCCAAAAGAATAAGACTTTATTAGTTGAACACTAGCTTTCATAAAGTACGTACTCACTTGATCTGTCTTAAAATATTTATTAAATTTAAAATTTTTACAGTCAACAAAAATTACTTGTTGACCTATAATTTCAATTTAAATGACTCTACGGGTCTAGTATATGACTCAATTGTATGAGAAAAAAAAAGAGTTTCTCACATGTGAATATAAATGGATCGGAAAATGAAAAAAACATCAACTACAACAAAATTAATGAAACGATCAACTATGCAACATTAATGTGACTTGAAAGATTATTCAAATGAAATTTTTAAACTTGAAGAACTAACTATACATGATATAATAACTTGAAAGACTAATATATACTACAATTTCGTTTTATATGATACATAAAAAATGACATTAATTCAAATTTTTAATGTATAAAGAATCACAGTAAGCAATTAAATACGAATAAAGGAAGTACATTATTTATTAATAAGTCTAATAATTACCAAAAGTTTACAGCAACGGTTCCTCGCATCCATTATTACAATCACTTTAATTTATTCAAAATAATTCTTATGGTAAATAAACAGCTTAAAACCCTAATTAGCACAGTACTACTCCCACATGGAGTAATATAACTAATAACTAACTGCACCCCTTTAATAACAATAATAATAGTAATACAGTAGGAGTTATAATAATAATAATAATACAGTAATAATAATAATAATAATAATAATAATAATATTATTATTATTATTATTATTATTATTATTATTATTATTATTAATAATTGAACAAGCTAAGTTACGTTGTAGCTAGCTAGCTAGTAAAGTCTCTACTTGCATCCACCATTGAGCTCCAATCCCACAGTCTATCACAGAAGGCGGAAGTGGCCGGATGGAGAGTCCCCGCCGCCGCGAGCGTGTCGATGGATTGGGGCGCCGGAAGTGGCGGCAACGACGGTGGTGGCGGGAAGTGATGAGGGGAAAGGTTTTGAAAGTAGTTTTGGGGGAATTGGGGGGGAGTGTGTTGGTAGTTCACCAGACGGTGTAAATCATCGGCCACCGCGGCTGATGATGACACCGGAAAGAAAACAGGCGGAGGCGGGACTGCGGGTCCCGCCTCCAGGGCGGCCGCCGAAGCGTATATCCCGGCAATGTCGGCACTATGGCTCGCGCTCGTCTCGTTATAACTCGTCATTTTCTCCTCCCCCGTCGGGTACGGCGGCGGAAACGATTCTTGTATTTTATTACCAGGATTTGTTCTTCTGGAAGGGGCCGCCGCCCTCGCCGGCGGAGTGCGCGGCAGGGATGGGTGGTCTTCCACTCCCGCCCTTTTGTAAACCCGGCAAAGTGAAATCTCCGCCTGATGATCACCAGAATTAAATTGTATTCAATGATTTATATGTTTCACACATTATTTAGGATAATAATTTTATGAAATTAAAACAATTAAATTCAATCCAATTTTTTTGGACCGAAATAATAATTAAGATCACGGGATTCTTGTTATATATCATGGGGTTGTACTTCTTTTGGTCCCAAAAGTTTATAGGTGTATAAAATTAAATAATTCAAGATATAAGTATTTATTTATTTAGAAAATCATGAACAAAAAAATTTTCGTTCCCATTTTTTAAAACACTTTTTGTGATTAATAATTACGCAGGAATTGGGAATTAATTAATTAGAAAAAAATAATTGTGAACGTACGTGAATGTTATAATTATTATAAGCCACTTTTACAACTAGATAGTTCAATATTTAGGTTTAGCATTTAAAAGACTATCCAATGATAAATTGATAACAAAGTGTAGCTTTTGTGTTTTTCAATGTTGGTTGATCAAACCATTCCAAAAAAAAGATTAAGAATGATAATACGGATTAAAAATGTTGTTCCCAAACAAGACTTAACCTTCTGCAATCGTTCCGTCTCGTGGTGCGGCAAACGGTATTCGTTCATAATCCAACTTGTACGGATGCCTTTGGGGGCTTTGCCGGAGTAGAAAACGAGCGTCTTCTTCAGCCCAATCGACCTCGAATTCTCGCCCCGGATCGTGCGATCCGCTCCGGTGGCCTTCCAGTAGCCCGAAGTCGTCACCCGGTTCGGCCGGTCACCGTTTCTGTACTTCCTATCTCTTGGCACATAAAAGTACCACTCCTTCTCCCCTATAGCTGCCAAAGCTACAACAAAACAATAGAAAAAAAAAATTAGAAAGTCAAAACACTGAAACCCCAAAATGATATTGAAACCCAAATCATTCTTAGTAAAACCTAGTTACTCTATATAACTCCCTCCGATCCCAAAAAGATTGTCTATTATGACTTTTTAGATACATAACTATATGGCAAGTAGAGGCATATACATACCGGGGAGTTCCCAAGGGTCGTAGCGATAAAGATCGAGAAAAGTGATGAGCTCAACGTTGAAACGCTTTCCTTCGACCTTTCGACGGAGGTAGAACTCGACGAGTTCTTCTTCGGTGGGGTGGAAGCGGAAGCCGGGCATGACCATGTCGTGCTCGTGGTCGTCGGTCATGTCCGTAGGTCCCACCTCCTCACTGTGAAAACATCCGATGTTGTTGTAGTCGTCGTTGTTACGGAAGCTCTCGCCGTCTTGGGGGTGTTGGCTCATCTTTTGGGACAAAATTGCCATGAAATTAATGGGGGAAGATATATGATTAATTGAACTGATTCTTAGCTCTCCAGCTAGCTACCAATTGATGGAACTTAGAGAGATTAGATCAAATCCTGTGCTTTTTATTAGGTCTTCCCTCTTTCCCTTTATATATTACCGGCCCGGAGTAGCAAATGTGGAGTTGTGGTAGGGTATGGATGAAAGATAGATAGAAAAGGAGGGGGTGATGTGCAAATTGTGAGAAGTTAAGAGTATGTATCATTCGTGTTTATTTCATCTTACTGGAGTAATGGATTTACTCCATGATAATGTATGACTTAAATCATTACTATATACTCCCTCTATCCCATAAAGTCCTTTACGTTTCCAAAAAAGACCGTGTTCCTAAAATTCCTTCTCATTTCTATTAAAAAATCACTTTTTTTCTTTACTTTTTCAAACCCTACGTACCTATCATATCATACTTTTTTCTTAATAATCTACACATCACATCGTACTTTTACCCATCGCATCAAAGATATTTTTGGAAAGTCGATCAACACAAAATTATCCCTCCTTATTTTACCACTTTAATCAAAGTGTCCCTATCTTTATGGTACAGAGGGAGTAGTATGCAAGCCTAATATGGATTATTAAATCTATATTTGTTTATCATCTCTCTCAAGCTGAGCCGAACATTGAGAGGCAAGAATGAATGTGAGGATATAATTGGCTATAGAAGAGACATGTTTAACACAAATATGCCATTAACATAACCTGTTTTCATTATATCGAATGTTGGCGCAGAACAAGGTTCTACACCTACATGTATTTTCATTATATGGAATGTTACTTTTAAATGTTCATGACTTAAAAACCAACCTTTTATATATTTATCAATTTACCACTGAAAATAACTATTGTCCTCCTTTTACCTCTAAAGACTTTATGATTTTTAATTTGGAAACCATACTAATCGAGTTGTATATTTGTTCCAAATTAAAGTCCCCTATAGTAATATATACTCCCTCCGTCCCAAAAAGATTTACACACTTCAAAAAAATTGTGTCTCACAATTCCTTACCCATTTCTATTAAAAAACCACTTTTACCCCTTACTTTTTCAAACTCTACCTATCACATCATACCTTTTTCCTAATAATCTACATATTACATCCTACTTTTACACATCACATCAAGGGTATTTTGGAAAGTCAACACAAAATTATCCCTCCCTTAATTTTCTTCTTTAGTCAAAATGGGTAACACTTTATGGGACGGAGGGAGTAGAATATATTGAGTTTTCCGATGCAGTACCACCACCACTTAGACATTGTTTAAAGTAAATATTTATCACCACTGATATCTTCTCTATTTTGATACTTTCTATATGTGTAAGTTACAGACCTGTGTGTGTAAATCCCTTACTAAATCCGAGTATAGAGTTCTATCGTGTGCAGCTTCTGAGGTTATGTGACTCACCTACATTCTTGATGATTTGCGTATGTCGGTGTCACCTTCACATTCTTTGTGATAATCAATCTGCTAAATGTCTCACGAAAAGTCCAGTTTTCCATAAGCGTATGAAACATGTAAGAATAGATTGTCACTTTATTCGTGAAGAGTGTCAGAGCCAGATATTAAGTGGAGTAGGGTTAATATAAAGTGTATATAAAAAATATAAAGTTTAAATAAAAAACATACAGGGATTAGTTTATAAAAGGGTTAAAAATGCCAAAAGGGGGCCTCAAACTCTAGCTTATTGAGTTAACACACATGCCTTCAACCATTTCTACTATCACATTAATACATGTATACATTCTTATTCCAATTTAGTGGGTGTAAGTGCATCCACTCAACCCTATGTGGCTCCTCATTGTTCGTGAATAGGTCATTGCTCGCATTATGCTTGTATCTCATGTCTTTTTAAAAGTTCAACTTGCAGACTAAATCATTGCATATGTCATGATTTTAGGCTCGTGTTTTCAAGCTTATGTTCGTGGCACGACGTTCAACTTGAGGTGTTTGTTAGGCAATTAATAATAGACAATATTAATTATGCTAGACTTTGTATTGTAATCAAGTTCTAAATTTGATCTGTAGATCAGATACGCTCAGAATTCCTTTTATGTATATCGGCAAAGATCTTTTGATTTTGAAACCTCATGTCATATTATAACCCGGATGCCTACTACGCGATGTTTCATTCGTAAAATTGATGGTTCCTACCTCCCTAACCACCCCCTAAACTCAACCCCCTGCATACCCCACCACAGCACCCTCCTGCCCCCCTCTCCATTTCGTCGATTAACACTATAGCCAATCGGCAAAATGGAGAGGGGGATGTTGTGGTAGGGTGGGCAGGTAAGGCCGTAAGGGTAAGGTTTATGGGGGTTAGGGGGTAGAAACCATCAATAATATGACCCCAGGTTTCAAGGTCAAAAGAACCGTTGTGTGTGTGTGTGTGTGTGTGTATTGAGATTTATCTTTGAGTAATACAATTATTTCATTATTTAATACTCCCTCCGTCCCAAAAAGTTTGTTACGTTTAGAAAAAACTGTGTCCCATAAAGTCCGTTACATTTCTATCAAAAAACCACTTTTACCCCTTACTTTTTCATACCCTATCTATCACATCTTACCTTTTTCCTAATAATCTACCCATCACATCATACTTTTACCCATTACATCATGGGTATTTTTGGAAAGTCAATACCAAAATATCTCTCCCTTAATTTTCCAAAAAGTCAAACTGTCTCATTCTTTTTGGGAAGGAGAGAGTATATATTTTCATTTTATAATGCTTTCCGCGACACTTTTATTTAGGTCTCTTCATTGGAGTTCATCCTCCATCGTCTACTCCGACCCTCTCTTTTTTTCCCACGTGAACTTATTACACTTATTAGCCCCCATGCTTCATCATACCCCGTTGACTTATAATTATCAGTTTATTTTTTTGTTTGTTTAATTTCTTTCTTTTTCGTTTTCTGTTTTTTTGTTTTTGTTTTTTGTTATATCACATGATTAAATCTGCTGTGTCTTAGCAAAATCACACAGTTGGCTTTAGTCTCTTGTTTAATTCCATCACACCACACCAAAATATTAGAAACATCTCAATTATATATTTATATATATATTCTAGCTGGGAAATGGGAATCAAGTGATTCATGTTTTCTACTACGGAGTATATTATTTTACCTGTAATATTTATGCTCGGTATAGTTTTCAATAATTTAAGTTATTAACAAAATATGTTCATTCCTATAAAACCATATACTCTCTCCATTCCTTTTTAATTGTCCGATTTAATTTATTTTTTAAGAGTCTAATGTTTGACCGACAATATTTACTAGTAAAAAATTATTATAAATAGTAGTACATGAAAAACATTTTTTGATACCAATAATTTGATATAATTTTTATATTTTAATTCATTATATATTTTTATACTCCCTCCATCTCGTAAACATCTTCTGGTTTTAACTTTTGGGTGATTTAAGTGTAGTGTATTTTGATGTTTGACCTTGAAAAATTTGCTCCATATAAGACTAAAAAGTAGTATTATACGTTTTCCAAAATAAGACTAAGTATGTTTTATTTTCTTTATGACATATATTTTTGTAAGATCTGTCATATATGTCCTCATTAGCAGCAAGTGTTGGATAATGACTGATTATATGAATGACTCTACGAATATGATCATTAGTAACAAGTGTTGGATAATGACTGATTATGTCACTGACTGTTCAAATTATTTTTAAATAATATCTTATTCTACCTGAATTATGTAATATATATGTCACTCTTTTTTAATGACCTAAAGTTTTTTAGTAGATGCTCTAGTAGATTCTACAAACAAACAACATAAATCATATTAATAGAATGGCCTATTAACAAAGGACATTATTAAAATCTATTTGTAGTCATTTTGGAAGTTTGTCATTTCCAGCTATTAAGGAAGCACTCACGTTTTCAAAGGCATGACATTTTAGAACTTTTCATTGTCAAATGTTAGAGTAATAGGACCAGTCTTATTTGGGGAAAAGTGATCGATTTAAGTCTCATTTACGTTAATTATCCTTTGACCTATCACAAATGTCGTTCGGATTTTTTTTGACAAAGAGAACTCAATTTATCATATCAAACGAAATAGTGTCAATAAGACCATGTCAATCAGACATAGAACTAGCTTCTCAAGCCACAAGGTGGGCAGCAAGATTTATAGATGTCCTAACAAGACTGAATCTCAAGCTAATAAAGCAATTCATAGCTTCTTTAATATCAGAAATAATAAATCCAAAAGACGAAAAAAGTTTAGATTCTAACGCAAAAAACCCTTAGGGTTTTTTTTAAAAGTGATGTTTCACATCAATGAATAGTAAATATTTTGTGCACTACAAAAAATATTGCGAAAAGCAGGGAAAACCCTGCCGCTAATCCACTAAAATCCACCGCTAATTGTGAAACCTAGCGTCGAAACCCCTTCTGCCGCTAAACAGGCTGCTGCTATTTTTAAAGGGGGAAAGAAGGAATATATAATAAATTAATTTTTGAAATACTAATAAAGAGGGGGAAAATGAGCGGGGAATAGTCTCCCTCTCAGTCACCGCCAATTAGCAGGGAATCACCCCCCTCCAAATATCTACACCTAATAGGCAAAATTCTAATAGTGGTGAGACGGAGGGAGTTGATTTTAGAATTGAATCGCGACAGTGACAGTTCTATTATTTGTAATACAGCTTTTTGTGCATACGGACACGGAACGATCTTTCTAAATTATACTCTTATTTTATTGTATGAATATGCAATACAACTTTAGAATAATTGATGATTAATATTCATCAAATTGACTCGAAAAAGTCAGCTAGACGAATACGCTGGATGGAGGACGTACATAAATTTTACGGAGTAGTTATTAATTATTTTACTTCAATTTTCATATAAATTGAATAAAAAATAAATTATAGATTATAGAAACGAGAGTAAAAAGAAAATGCTCGGAATGAATGTGCCACGCTTGAAACAGGGACGAAGATGTATTCTTTTTTATATCCAAAATTAGTTTTTTTACAAATTTATTTGGGTGATCATTAAATT